TTTTCAAAAACACTCCATTTTCATTTCAAAGCCATGCTACCATGATGGTGCATTTTACAAAAGTTTCCTAAAACATCACGTAGGAATATAGAAGGAGGTCATATTTAAAATGAAAAGAAATGCAATAACACAAGAGATAAAACATGATGCTGACTTAGCAATAGTAAGGCTTGAGCCACTTTCCATTGATGGGATCCGTTAGCGTGCCTTCCTTGACGGAGATCAAGCGATAATAGCCACTGATGTGTACTTCCTTGACTGCAAACGGGCCTTCCCATTGCGGAGCAAACTTGGAAGGTCCCGACACTTGTCTTCTTACATGCTCAACGACTTTTAGCACGAGATCTCCTTGCTTGAAGGCTCGAGGCTTGACTGTCTTGTTGTATGCTTGGGTAGCAGTTTTGTGGTAAAGTGCCACCCTTCTTTCAGCTTCTACCCTTTTCTCATCCACAGCTTCGAGATCCACTAAGCGCCAGTCCAAGCATGACTTCACATCCCATTCAAGATCGTTGACAGCTGATACTCTGGCAGTGGGAGTGGTGATCTCCATAGGTGAGATGGCATCGGACCCATATACGAGTGAATAAGGCGAGAAGCATGTGGCACTTCTTGGAGCGGTGCAGTAAGCCCATAAGGCATCTGGCAGATGAATGTTCCAACCACCTTCGTACTCATATACCATTTTGCTCAAAATTCTCAGTATAGTCTTGTTGGTGGCCTCCGCTTGACCGTTTTCCTGTGGGTAATAAGGTGTGGAGCGACGATGCTTGATACCGTAGCCGCTAAGTGTCGAGCTCACTTGCTTGTTAACAAACGGTGTGCCATTGTCAGTAACAATTTTGTATGGGATTCCAAACCTGCACACGATGTATTCTCGGATAAAATTTGAGATAGCAGCCCCTGTGGCCTTTCGAAGAGGAATTGCCTCGACCCACTTCGTGAAATATTTCGTGGTAGTGAGGATCCATATGTAACCGTCAGAAGGTGGATGGATTGTCCCAATTAAGTCAAGCCCCCAAGTATGGAAAGGCCAAGGAGTGCGCATGTTCTGCAGCAGCGTGGGAGGCATCTGACTCAAATTGGCATGAATTTGGCATGTGTGACACTAGCCATATACGTCATTCTTCATGGTAGGCCAGTAGTACCCAACATTCAGCAGCTGTCGGTGGAGCCTCTTCATCCCTTGGTGCTCACCACATTCTCCAGCATAAATTTCCTGCATTACATGTTGCGTTTTCGATTCTCCTAAGCATTTAATGGCTCACCATTAAACCCTTTATGATAAAGAGTGGACCCGTCTATGAAGTATCTTTTCAGTGTCTTTTTGAGCTTGTGGGCATGCTTGGTGTTGCTTGGTAGAATTCCCTCAATAAAGAATGCTAAATACGGCGCCCTCCAATCTTCCGCAAATGAAATGGTGAAGGATTCTTCGGTGGAGGGTATTGTTGAACACTTGGGGCAATTGGCTTGAACTTCAGCTGCTTGTTTCTTCATTTCTGGCCAATAGTAACCTTTGCGTTGCAGGCGCCGATATAAGCTGATTACTGGTTCCAAATTGCAAGTGGCCTCATGTACCTCTTGGAGCCTCCTCTGTGCTTCCGTCATCCCTATGCAGCGGATCAAAATACCTCATGGGAGGCGTCTGAAAAGCTCCTTGAAGATAACCGCATAATCCTTCAAGTCCTTGATGTCGCTTCCCTTACTCAACTTTTCTTTCACGGATTTTCTCCAATCATTTTCTTCCAGCAATTCCTCTTGAGTCATTGCTTCAACTGTTGGCACATCCTTTTTTATCACAGTAATGTTAGGTTGCTCTTGGATAAATGAGAGCTTTGATCCCAATGTAGCCAAATCTTCTTTGCTCTCTTTTCTTCTTTGGAGTTGTCTTTTTTCTATAGAAACCTTCACAAGAACAACAAAATTCTCTTTTATGTATTACACCATTCTTGTCCTTATTTACTCTAAGTTTTCTCACACTAAATCCAACACCTCTAGCATATGAATTGTAATATTGATATGCCTCCTGTTCATTATCAAAACTCATGCCAAGTGTTGGAACGTCACCAAATTTTCTTGTGAGCTCTTCAATTTGCTCATTATGATCCAAGAGATAAGACTTTCAGAATCAGAATCTAGGTGTATACAATCAACAGATTCTTTACCATCATTGGAAGATGTAGCATGAAATTCATCCTCTTCATGGTCCATGAGGACACTAGCAGTATGTGCCTGCATATGTATCTTATTACTTGATATTCAATGATTGACCAAAAAAAAAATATTGAATATTCAATGAATGCTACATCCATAAAGAATTTTATAAAAAAAACTTAATCTTCACAGCCAATATCGATTGTTGTTTTTGGTTTTTATGGAAGTTTATTCAGATTTTTTTTAAAAAAGGACATGAATTGTTAAATTTGAATTTGGTTTGATACTCAAAAAACTAAATAATGCAGAGTCATCACCAAAGTATAAAAAAGAATCAAGCAATACAAAGTACTGGAAAAAAAAAAAAAAAAAAAAAGCAGCATAGATGTTACCCATCTTTCACTTGAACGAATGGAGGAAGCCTACAATTGAATTGGAGTTGTTAAGTCTTCAATTCGGATAAAAGTATTTGGGTGTGGATAAAAGGAGTTAGCTAAAGCCAATTGAGATTCAAAGTATTTGGGCATGTTATTCGAAGTATTGAAGCCTGTGAATTGCAGATTAAGTCTTCAACTTATTAAAATATTGTTTCTCTCTCATAATAATGTCATCAAATAAATAAAAAATAAAAAATTAACTATAGTTAAACCCATGGACATGTATAAACTTTTAGGAGGGGTGAAGGTACACCTATGATTAAAGTGTTGAGCAAAAATGCATCCTCTTTTTGTGTTCACGTAGCACTAATTGAGCACTTATCCAATTTCCATCAACGGTCACCTCATTCCATCTTTTCGTGTACAGATGGACTTCCGAACGGACGAATTATCTTAATTTCCCACATTTATTCTTTCACGCTTGCACACACATTATTTTAATCAAAATTAACTAAGAAAAAATGCAACAGTAAACAACTTTGTAGTAAGACAATTTAAATTAAGCATGTCCCATTTGAGTTATTTCATTTATTACTATTATTTTTTTATTAGTAATTCAATTTAAAATTAAAGAAAAATAAAATTTGTTTAATTGTGTCCCATGAAAATGAGCTAATCTTTATTTAAAACAAAATTTCCCCTTTCAAGAAATTGAAAGTACGGCCTTTAAAGAAATATCTCTGTAACTTTCCCAAGTTAACCAACTCCTTAAAAAGGGTCCCAGCCCAAACGGAAAAGCTCATTCAGTTATTCATTTCCCGCTCTCTCACACACTCAGAAGAAGAGCGAGCCAGAGAGAAAGAAGATGATGAGTGCAATGAAAGGGTGGGCCTTTGCTCTGGTGGTGATCTTCTCTGTGCTTCTGTCATGGAGCATCCCAAGAGGCGAGTCAGAGAGAGCCTTTCTCTCTTTCTCCTCCCATGAACCACTGGTCAGAGTGGTTTATCTGGCGTCTGCGGATGAAGGCCAAGATTTCTTCATGGAGATGACAGATTCTGTTGCAACGAACATCGGGTACGATTTCTACCACGATACATGCCCTGAAGCTGAGACCATTGTGAGGTCTATGATGGCTCAGATTTACTCCCAGCACAAGAATGTCTCTGCTCAGCTTCTGCGCCTCTTTTTCCATGATTGCTTCATTCAGGTATACCAAGATTCTTCTTTTCTTTATCTTTGAGGTTTTTTTTTTCTCAAATAGGTCCTCTGCTTTTAATCTTTGTTGACACCGTAACTGACCAAGCAACAAGAAGCAAAGCAAAGCAAGAGGAGTCCCACATCGGAAAACTGCAAGAAGTGGAGACTCCCCTTCACCTATAAAAGGAGACTTCTCTCCTCTTAGAAGGGGGATGAAAAACTGAGCTGGGGGCTCCCTCTTCAGGACTCTCCTGTTAGTCCAGCCTTCGGGTCCTGGGTCTCCAGACCCGGGGACTTGACCCCTGGGCTCCAGACTCCTAGCTTTGTACTTTAGGCCCTAGGCCTTCTTCCATTTATCTTTGGGTCTAACCCCCTTGTACAAATGTAAACAATATCATAATGCCATTCATTAAGGGTGAACCACATATATCTTGTCTTTTGTATATTTATAAATTGGCCAAAGCCCTCACATACCTGCTGAAGGTCCAAGCCTTCACCCATCATCCATCACACCTCATCACTAAGTTGGACTCAATAATGGCCCAACCATTTTGAGCATCAACAATCTTGATTGTACTTTTCTGCATCTGTGTGGGTTTCCTGCTTCTAGTCTTGATGGTTCTTTTCTTCATCAATGAATGGCTTTTGTTTGAATTGCTCTGGGGTTTTCTGCTTTTAATCTTTGTGGTCATTTCCTTCATTCGTGTGGGGTTTTCTCAAATAGGATTTGATTGCTTTGGGTTTTCTGCTTTTATTCTTGGTCTTCCTTTTCTTCGCTTGTGTGGGTTTCTCAAATGGGTTTTGATTGCTCAGGGTATTGGAATCTGATTCTGATGATTCCGATTCTTATCTGCAAATTGAGTTAGTTTCTGAGGTATATGCTTCTTTTGAATGTTTCTCAATTTGATGTTGTTATTGGTTTCTATGAATCTTGAAACTCTGGGTTGTTCTTTTATGGTTTTTAACACTTGAGAATCTGAAAATTCTTATCTGGGAATGTTAAGCTACAATGCTATAAGATGATTTCGGCATGATATTTATGAGTTTTTCTGAATGGGTTTTCGTTTCTTTGAGTCTTTTGTCTCTAACCTTAGTTTCCTGTCTTTTTATTCAAGTATGTATTGGCTCTAACCTTAGTTGGGCTATGATTACCTTACGTGGGTTTCTGTCTAATTCCATCTGTCTTTCTTAATGTTGTGGGGTTTTTGAATCAGGGTTGTGATGCTTCGGTCCTCTTGGATCACAGCAATGGGAATAAAAACCATTCCATAGAGAAGCAGGCTGTGCCAAATAAGACCTTGAAGGGATTTGATAAAATTGATCAGATCAAGGAGGTGCTCGAAAATGTTTGTCCTGCAGTGGTATCTTGTGCTGACATTCTTGCTCTTGCCACTAGAGATGGGGTTGTTCTGGTATGTTTTACTGCTCCTATGAGTCTTGACGTATTCTTTCCTGTTTTGATTTTCAGCGTTTGATCTTCTAAACAACCTCTAAGGCAAAAATGTCCAGTTTCTTCTCTTTCCATTCCATCGAATTACTAATAGAAAAAAGAACTAAAAGAGAGAAGTAAGAAACCAAAACCGTCACACATTTAGTTGTTCAACTTTTGGTGCTTGTGAATTAGTTAGTTGTTCACTAACTCTTTTGCTTGTAGTTAAGTGGAAAAGCTACAGAGCACTTAACTGTATTATCTGACTGCTTGTTTCAGTATTCTTCTCTGAGTGTTTGTCCTATCTAAAATGACAGGCTGGTGGTCCCTTTTATCCACTTGTCACTGGTAGAAGAGATAGTGCCCGCTCCTATTATGATGAAGCCATGGCTGAGATTCCAAAACCTGATGATAATATCACTCAGACACTTCATCTGTTCTCACTCAGAGGTTTTACTGACAGAGAAACCGTCAGTCTTCTAGGTACTCAACTCATAAATTCTGTTCCTTCTTCATTTCTTTGTGTTTGGAGCTGAAATAGATTAACCAGTCTTGACATATTCATCTGATTTTTTGTTTTGTTTCATATCTGAAGGAGGGCACAACATTGGGAAGATTGGATGTGAGTTCATTCAGTCTCGCCTTCACAACTTCAGGGGGACAGGGAAACCAGACCCAACTGTTTCTCCTAGTTTCTTCAATGAGATGAGAGTTTTCTGTGAAGACAATGGTAACAAGAAGAGTAGCCAAGGATCACCCATGGCAGCCCCCACGGCGTTTCCCATGGCATCCTCCACGGCGTCTCCCATGGCATCCTCCATGGCAGCATCCATAGCATCATCCCCAATGGCATCAAGGGGCATGAGTGAGAAGCCTGCGGGGAGGGGGATGCCATACTTTCAGCAACTGTCATCATCTGTATCGTCTGGGGCAGGCTTTGACACTCATTACTACCAGAGCTTGTTGAGAGGCAGAGGACTTCTCTTTGCTGATCAGCAATTGATGGCTAATGAGAGGACAGCCAGATTGGTGAGAGCTTATGCTTCAGACGATTGATCAACCTTCCGGATGGACTTTGCCCGGGCAATGATGAAGATGTCTAACCTTAATGTTCTCACTGGATCTCAAGGTCAGGTCCGATTGGAATGCACTCTGCCAGTCTCTAGCTAGCTAAGTTCTTACCTGACAGAATCCGACCGGGGGCCATGATGGAGATGGAAGAAAATTTCTGTTGAAATATTTGTTCCCTCTGGTTGTACAGTAGAGAAACTTTTAGCCATGTTAGTCCACATTCTTTCCTTTAGCCATCTTTAATAGTCATGTTCATTTGTGAATTGTTAGTACGTGCAGATATAAAGCAGCAAGCAAAGAGAATGTTAATCCCATTCCCACCTTCCCTATGTAGAGTTGAATTTTTCTGATTGTAAATAACTCAAGGACTACTGTGATTGTTTTCTTTTCTTTTCTTTTTCCCATATACAAGATTAGGGTTCATATATCATTTTGTTTTAGTTTTAAAATCATGGTTTCTTTCTTTTCTTTTTTCTTTACTAATAGATACACGAAGAGACCACTTACTTTATTAAAGTTGACTGACCGTTGACTTTCTTTATTTTGTTTTTAAATAAATTGTAATTAAAGTTGAATTACAATTTTATCCAACAACAAAGACTCTTTGTAATTTTTTTATTTTTATTTTTTATATTTCCAAGTTGGGTATAATTGGAAAACTAACCAAAATTTGCTTTCCATTACACATTGTAAAGGTGAGAGAAACGCATGCTAGTCTGAATACCTATTAGGGTAAATGCAAACAACAAAAAAACAAAAATTAAAAAAAACCTTAATTTTAATTACCAAATGCCAAAATCCGCGTATGGAGTCCCAACTACATTTATGACACGATTTGTATTCTTTTCTTTTTTCACTTTTGTTGTGGAAAGCTTGCGGAAACCTTCTCATTCCAAGTTACTCGATTTTTTAGTTTGTCCAGACTCCAGGGTGTATACTTTTTTTTCCATTCACCTCCTCCTAATCTAAAGTTGGTTTAGAGCATCCGCAATGGGCTCCCTAAACCACCTTCTTAGACAAATTTTAGAGAGGAATTGTAAAAATGCAACTCCGACCATGCTCCCTATCCACCTCCTAAAATAGGGAGTTCTTTAGGAGCTCCTAAATCTGATGAGAGAGAAAGGACTCCTAGTGGCTCCCTATAATTTAATGCTGCCTTATTTAATGAGTATTTCAAACCTTTATTTAATGCAAACTATTTTTTATTTTATTTTTTAATAGAGATGGACCAATCAAAAAAGAGTTATAGCATTTATGACTCTCCAAATTAGGAAGTATGGTTGGAGTTGAAATTTTTTAGAGAGCTCCTAAAATAGCTTTTTTATATTTTTAGCTAAATTTTAACTAAGAAATAGAGAGCATCATTGCAGATGCTCCTTACTAAAGGCTTTTTTTGTATTGTCACCAAACGAAATGCGAATGCAAATGTAAATGTTTGTCAAACTGCTGAGAAAAAAACAATTACTTACTCCCTAATCCAAATGCAAATGTTTGTTTGTATTGTCACCAAACGAAATATACTTGTGCGAGGGGCTTGTAGCTAATTTCGTATGTATACACTGGCGAAACCACCTTCCCACTGTAGCCCGGTAAGGTTTTTATTTTATTATTTTATTTTGTTTCAATGTATTGTGTTGTGTGATTTCCTACTTAATTAAGAAATATAGTTTGATATCAATTAATCTTAGTTGGTCCCACATTCATCCTAATCTAGCTAGAATTCCTAGTCAATCCAAAAAAGAAGAAGCATATATATGAAACTTAGTCCTAGGGTTCCTTGACCGAAAAAAAAAAAAAAAAAAGACCCAGGGGTTCAAAAGAATACCTGCTATTGCGTTCTCTTCGCAACAAGATGGAGAATGAGTTTCTAGCAGATTCTATGATTGTCTACATTGAAAAAGAATTTGTTGACAGTATCAATTCAGATGTAATAACCAAAGATTTCAATTCTCTCAAGGATCGCAAGGCACAACTTGAATAGATACACTTTTAATTATGTTGTTGAACATATATTTATTTTGATCATATCAATTTTTTGTTGTTGCATTTAATATGTATTTGTTTTATGCTAAATCTTATTGAAAATTAGTCAAAGCTATGAATTAGCGTGGTTTATATGATTTAATGTCTACTTTTATTTTAACTAAAAATTTTAGTTAGGCTACCTGTCAAAAAATTCATGGTTCCACCATTGGTTGTATATACATGCTTGTAGCATCTTTGCATTTTGGTCACTTTTTAATTTTTTTTAGTGTTTTATTTATATTTATAAAAAAAAAGGGGGGTTTTCAATGAAAAGTGGCCGTGCTAATTTTAGTTGTGAAAGGTGCCTAATTTGGAGCGCAGCAATGAGCTTTAAAGCAAGCATAGGGTGATCTTCTCTATGAGTCTTGAAATTGAAGCAAATATAACTTCATCACTTTTTGATTCAGTTTTTTTTTGTTTCTTTCTTATAAATTCACTGTCGAATTGGTGATATCTTTTTTCCTTGTTTTTTTTTTTTTTTCCAAACGAAGAGAGTTTTATTAGCGACGAATAGCAAGGTTTACATCTCTAGCTAAAATATCAAAAATCCACTCGGGCCACACTTGGTCCCAAACGTGGTTACCACCTACTCTAGACACAAAGGCCGCAACCTCATGTGCTGCCTTATTGCACTGACGGGGAGTAGCTAAAAAAACAACCTGTTGGAGCTTGCCAGCAGGCATCTTAATATCAAACACAATAGCTTCCACCGCGACATCAACTTGACGCTCACCTCTAATCATCTGAATCATCTGCAACGAGTCAGATTCAATCTCCACATGCACCAAACGACCCTTAATGCAAGCAATCAATGCTTCTCTTATAGCCTCCACCTCCATCGTCAAGGCCATACTGCCTTGTAATCCCCCTACCCCCCTGCCTGCACTAGCCAGCCATAAGTGTCTCTAATAACCCAGCCAGCCCCACCCCTTTGCGTCTGCTGCAACCAAGCACCATCACAATTAGCCTTGACCCAGCCATGTGCCGGCTTAGCCCATGAAGCTGACCCACTCTAAGCACGATCTGGCGGACGGGGTAGCTAGTTAACCAGAGGTTTGGCCGACATCAGAGCTGCCCTATACTCCTGCACCTGAGCTTGGAGACTTCTCACCATAGTGGTTGGATCAGTAACAGTCCCTTCAAACACCGCACTGTTTCTTGTTTTCCATAAACGCCACAACCCAAAAACCACCACCTGTAATATTTCTTGAAAATTCACATTCTTCTCATACTTCTTTAATATGCTTTCCCAGCATTCACTAAACTCCTCCCCCACCAATTCACTACAAAAAAAAGGGTCATTACCGACTAACTTTTTCCGAGGACCTCGAAATTTCCTCGGTAAAAGTGATATTTCCGACCAAAAAATGTTGTCCGTTGGAAATACTTCACGGGGATAAAATTTATTTCCGACAAAGGAACTACCCTCGGAAAAAGTCTCTAAAGTCGTCGAAAATGTAATTTATTTGGCGGGAAAACTTTGCGCCAATTTTATTAACGACAAAAAACATTTTAGTCGGAAATAAAATGATTATTTCCGAGGGGCTACTCATTCCGTCGAAATTGTTTGACTATTTCCGAGGAGCTTCTCTTTCCCTCGGAATTGTTTGACTATTTCTGAGGAGCTTCTCATTCCGTCGGAATTGTTTGACTATTTTTTAGGGGCTTCTCATTTCCATCGGATTTGTCTATGAACAAAATTGAGTTTTTATTATTACTTTGTATTTTATAATTCAAAATTGGATTTTTTGAGCTTTAAGGTGAAGAGAATGTCACAAGGAGTTCCTAGGAATTGGAAAAATCCAATATCCCTACCTCTTTTGCTCCATCCCAGCCATCTCTCTCTCTCTCTCTCTCTCTCTCTCTCTCTCTCTCTCTCTCTCTCTCCATGGCAGATCTGGTTGCTGAACTTGTGTGTTCTCCTCCATGACAGAGCTTCTAGGTATTGGTTTTAAGATTTTTCATTCGAGTGTAATTTGGGGCTAAATATGGGTGATATTAGGTATTGTTATTATTTATATTTTTTCAATTTAATCTTTTGTGGGCGATTGGGGCATTATTTGTAGGTATTCAATTAATTTTTTATTTATAAATTTCTGCTTTTAATCGAAGACATGCTTAGTTAGTTCAATTATATGTGGATGAACTCTTGGTTTCTTTTTGCTGTTAAGAAATCTTGTCTGCCATTGCAGTCGATGAACACACTTGACACCCATACGACCCTTTTGGCTTCTCTTTGCTATTGCAGTCGGTAATCCAAATATTTTTAATCTTGTTTCTTTTTATGGATTAACTGAAGATTGCCTCAAATTTAATCATGTTTCTTTTCTGGTATTGCTGTTGGAATTGGCCCAAATTGTATTGATTAATTAAGTGTGTAAGGGCCACTTTATTGATGTTTGCTAGCTTTCTTCCTTGTCATGCCGTGGGTTTTGAAATGAGGAAATGATGGCACATGCCATCTTTGTTTCAAAGCTGGAGACAAAGAGATGAAGTGGGAGCCAACACTTGAGTGATCTACACCTAAAGCAATTGGAGTGCAATTCGGTGGGCATGTGCGGCTATTTTCTGTGGCTAGCAAAGTCAAGAAAGAGGAGCGGCTAGTTGTAGTTATGAATCTCTCTGTTTTTTGTTGGTCGAATCCATCTCTCAGTTTTAATTATGAATCTGAATTTTTTCCCTTTTTGATTTTTTTAAATTCCTCTTCCTCTGCAGCTAAGGATCAACGCCACCACCCCATGACCACTGACTGCTCCACACTTTGATAAGAATATTTTATTTTTTATTTGAGTTTTATTTTCTTTTGGTGTTTGGGGTTGAATCTGTCTGGATTTTCTAGGTTATATTGATTATCTGAGTTTTGTGGATTTTCTGGGTTGTATAGGTTTTATTTAATTTCTGGGTCACAACATAGTTGATCCTTTTAATTTGACAGTAATATGGTTTTACAGATTTGCATAGGTCTTTTTAATTTGATAGTTGGAGGAGGTGTTCAATTTTCATAATTTATGCCTGATCTTCTAGCCAATTGTTTTCACACATATAATATTGATAACTTTGTACATAAAGGATGTGTTACTTCTTTGGCTGTGTCACCTGTTACAGGTGTGGTTGCTTCAGTTAGTTACGATAAGATTGTCAAGCTGTTTGGATCGCTATTCCACAGGTGTTAGAGATGATGAGTACAAACCTTGGGGTTACAAAGGGCATAAAGCTTGAACATTATTAGTTGAAGATGACTGAACGACAAGATTAGTTGTGTTAGTTTGCCATAAAGCATGTACATTATTGTTATATGAGAATAAATGAGACGCTACTATATTTAGGGAGCCTTGTTTTATCACGGCTATGTATTGCACAATGAATTTTTATTTATTTATGATGATATTTAGTGTTTTCAATTGTTTTGCTTTTATATACCATTTAACAGGATTTTTTTACAATGAATTGACATTGTTAGAAATAAATTTGTTGGTTGAATATAATGTTTTCGACCACTTGTTCATCGAAAATATTTGTCGACAAGATTAATCTATTTGCAACAAACTTTGCGATGACTAAATGTGGTTGAAAATATATATTTCCGATGAGATATTATATATTATTGTTGGAAAATGTATTTTCGACAACACTCATTGGTTGAAAATATGAATTCGCGAAATCTTGATAAAAAAAATTGTTTCCGACAATCTTTTAAGTAATTGCGACTACATGTACGGGTCGGAAATAAATATGCATGGTCGTTTTAAAAATTCATTTCCGATAGAAATTTAAGCAGCAGCTACGAAACATGGGCGTCGAAAATACATTATTTTCGACGGAATGGTCGAAAAAGAAGTATTTCCAACCAGCGTTTTACCGACGACTTCCGACGGACTTTTGCCGTCGTAAAAGGGTATTTCCGACGGCAAAAGGCTTTTTACGACAAAAAAAAGCCCTCGCTAAAGGGGTTCTGTTTTGTAGTGATTGTAAGACATCTAGCTGTAGGGAGCTTCCAAACCAAAAAAGTCTAGCATGCTCACACCAAAAGAAAAGATGAACTTGAGATTCCCCTTCAAAGCCACAGAGGGCACATGTATTATCCACATCAACCGAGCAACGCCGTAAATTCCCTTTAACAGCCAAGGCGTTTCTACAACCCCTCCAAACAAATGCACGTAGTTTGGGAGGCACCTGCAATCTCCATATACTCTTCCAGAATTTCTTTTGATCACCTCCATGACTGCAGTCTCCTTCAGCTTTCCCCCCCAACTCACCATTTTTCCGTAAGTTTAGAGCAAGTTCATAGCCAGTACGAACTGTGTAACCACCATGCGCAGTGAAGTGCCACACTAGTTTGTCATCACAGCCCCACTTGCTAAGAGGTAAGGATAAAATAGTCTGGGCTTCCACACAACTGAAACAACGCAATATAAGACCCCGATTCCACATCTTCGTCTGATCGTCAATAAGCCCCTGCACTAAAATAGGCATATCTGGGTGTCTAGAGTAAATCTTGAAAGTAGAAGGTTTGGGCACCCAGTTATCCAGACAAATACGAACTTGCTATCTAGTGCCTATATGCCATCTCATACCTGCCGCCAATATTTTCCGTCTTTGCACAATACCCTTCCAACCCCATGATGACCCACGACCAACAACAGCTCTCATAAAATCTGAAGGCCTGGAATACTTGTCCTGGAAGGTAGTAGCCTGCAGAGAGTCCGGATGTTTGATAATCCGCCAACCAATTTTTGCAAGCATAGCCAGGTTGAAGCATCTAAGATCTCTAAACCCCAGACCTCCTGCTTCTTTCATCATACAGAGACGTTGCCATCCAACCCAATGGATACCCTTATGCTCCTTGTGCCCTTTCCACCAATAATGAATGATCTCCCTTTCAATCTCCTTGCATAAATTAATGGGTAGCTTAAAATATGACATAGCAAAATTTGGCATAGCCATAGCTACTGCTTTGATCAAAACTTCCTTCCCAACTTGAGATAAATATTGCTCAGACCATCCCATAAGCCTGGAATTAATTTTGTTACGTACATCCTCAAAGACCCGCTGTTTTGAAGCCCCAAATTCAGCATTGAGTCCTAAATATCGTCCGAACCCATCATTTTGTTGTACCTGTAAGATGTCTCCCACCTGCTTACGAACACGCGCAGGACATTTTTTCCCAAACAAGAGCGAACTTTTATCAAAATTAATACATTGACCTGAGCCTTTCTCATAACAGACTAAAATATTTTTCAAGCATCTAGCCTCCTGTTCATCAGCTTTGCAAAAAATAACAGAGTCATCAGCGAAGAACAAATGTGAAATTTTAACCCCCTGAGGATGAAAACGGAAGCCCTGCAAGGCACCCATCTCTTCATGCTTCGTAATCATAGCAGACAGGCCCTTAGCACATAACAAAAATAAAAAAGGAGATAGAGGATCGCCCTGACGTAGACCCCGGGAAGGTGTAATATGTCTGTAGCCTCACCATTAACAATCACACTATATGTAACAGTAGAAATGCATTCCATTACCCACCCTCGAAAGATCGGATCAAATCCCAACTTTCTCATCATAAGCTCCACAAATGGCCATTCAACCCAGCCATAGGCTTTTGCCATATCTAATTTCAAAGCCAAACTGGATCGCCCCATTCCAACCTCCTTCTTTAGCGAGTGAAGTATCTCATGTACAATCAAAATATTGTCCGTAATTAATCGATCTTCAATGAAGGCAGCTTGATTGAGACTAATGATCTTAGGAAGCACAGCTTTGAGCCCGACTGTTAAAATCTTGGAAATAATATTATACACCAAATTGCATAAAGCAATTGGTCTCCATTGAGTCATCTTCCTTGGTGTAGCAATCTTCGGGATCAAAACCAGATGCGTCTGGTTGTCTTTCCCGTCTTTCTTTATTTTAGCGCGTAAAAGTTGTTCGATTGGTATTATTGCTTTGGCAGCCAAAGTCAAAAAAATACATTAATACAGGGGGACTAACCTGAGTATGAGGTTAGTGTGTTTGGTAAAGAACCATATCGACTTTAATTAATATATAAAATTATAAATGTGTTTACGCACTCCTTGCCTACTATATATGAGTCACGTTTTGAGTGGGATCTGCAACAAACAAATTGAGAAAATTTGGTTTGTATACCTAATGGATACTTTGTATTCAAACTTATTCAAGCCTCGCTATATTTCTCACTTTTTTCTCCTTTTGTTTTTGGCATCTTCATATCTGCACACCCATGTGAGATCATGCATCGAGGAAGAGAGAAGTGCGCTTCTCAGTTTTAAACAGGATCTCAAGGATCCCTCTGGAAGGCTTTCTTCTTGGGTGAGTCTCGATTGCTGTCAATGGGAAGGGATTTCATACACCAACCACACCGGTCAAGTGGCCAAGCTGAACCTCCGGAATCCATATCCATATTTGATATATGAATATGATGATTTGATGAATGAAGATCTTGCGTGGGATCAGTTGGCTTATAAGCAGTCTTGCTTGGGGGGTAAGATAAATCCTTCTTTGCTTAGCTTGAAATATTTAAATTATCTGGATCTAAGCTACAATGATTTTGATGGGATTCACATCCCTAAGTTCTTTGGGGAGCTTAAAAGTCTGAGGTATCTCAATATATCGTTTGCATCATTTTCAGGAGAGATTTCCCCCTTCCCTCGGTAACTTAACAAAATTGAACTATCTAGATCTTGGCCTCTCCTTTTCTTATGGACCCTTATTAGAAATGCATTCCACAAACTTGAATTGGCTTTCTCATCTCTCTTCCCTAAAATACCTCAATCTCAATAAAGTGGATCTTAGCAGCACAGGAGTTATAAATTGGTTGCATGCTGTTAACATGCTTCCCTCGTTACTGGAGTTACACTTATCTCATTGCGGAATAGAAAGCCTTCCACTACAGAAGATTAACTTCACCTCACTTTCGGTCCTTGATTTGTCAGATAACATAGTTAATAGTTCTTCATTTCCCAGTTGGCTTTTCAATCTCACTAGCCTTAGAGAACTTGATTTATCTGTGAATTATTTCCGTGGTCCATTTCCAGGTAAACTTGCAAGCCTCAAATCTTTGGAATACCTTGATTTATCTAATTTGGGACTTGAAGGTCAGTTTTCCAAAGTCATTGGAAACTTGTGCAAGCTAAAAATGTTAAGTCTTAGAGGGAACCATTTTCCTGGTGAGGGGATTGAAGAGTTTTTGAGGTGCTTGTCAAATTGTCCAAATAATACAATAGTAGAGTCACTAGATTTTTCTTATTGTTCACTGGAAGGCCAACTGCCAGCCTCCTTAGGAATGTTAACAACTTTGCAGCATATCAACCTTGAGGTAAACCATTTTTGGGGCTCAATTCCAAAATCTATTGGAAATCTATCATCCTTGAAAACAATGGACCTCTCTAATAATCATATGAATGGGTCCATTTCAGAAAGCTTAGGAAAACCCTCCGAGCTAGTTAAACTAGATTTGCGGGAAAATCCATGGAAAGACATTCTAACTGAAGCCCATTTGATAAATCTCACAAGATTGAAATATCTGTCAATATACAGTGATGACATGGAGAATCCCATGTCCCTCATTTTCAACATGGCTTATGATTGGGTTCCTCATTTTAAGCTCCACACAATTGAGATTGTCAACTGTCCCATAGGTCCGGGTTTTGGGCTATGGCTTCAATCTCAAACTGAACTATCTAGTGTTACTCTTCGAAATACTTCCATCTCGGATTCCATACCAGAGGAATGGTTCTTGAAGATATCTTCCCAACTCCAATATTTGGATTTATCATATAACCAAATCTTTGGAAAGCTTCCATTCCATTTGAAGTTTCCACATATTTCAGATATCAATTTAGGTCATAATCAATTTGACGGCCCACTTCCACTTTGGACCACAAGTGCCTCCTCCTTTGATCTTGGAAACAACTTATTTTCCGGGCCAATTCCTTCCAATTTCAACCAAGAGATGCCCACGTTGAGAAAATTGGTTCTTTCTGGGAATCGTTTGAATGGTACTCTTCCACCCTCCATTTGCAACATAGAGTATTTGAAACTCGTTTCGCTAAGCAATAATCAATTATGTGGACAAGTCCCTCAAGAGTGGAGTTTGTGCAGCGGATTAGAAGTTATTGATGTGGCACACAACAATCTTTCTGGTAATATTCTGAGTTCATTGGGTAACCAAACGTCTCTTCAAGTTTTAAAGGTGAACAATAATAATTTTGGTGGTGAAATTCCTTTTTCTTTGCAACATTGCACTTCTTTGAAGATACTTCATCTTGGAGGCAATAAATTCATTGGAAAGCTACCTTTTTGGATTGGATCAAATGTATCCACATTGCAACTGTTAAGCCTGCAATCCAACCTTTTAAGTGGGCATTTACCCCACCAATTCTGCAATCTTCCCTACCTTCACGTCCTGGACCTTGGTCACAACAAATTTTCAGGGACAATTCCAAAGTGTTTGAAAAATATGACTTCTCTAGCCCAAGCTGATGCTGAAAAATATTTTCCGGATGATATTATTTACTACGACTATGGTTCATATGCACGAACAACAATAACGTCAAAAGGGAAAGAACTTGAATACGGAGATGTCAAATTAATCCAATGGGAAACATCATTGATCTTTCGTCAAACAATTTTGAAGGTGAAATCCCTGAACAAGTGGGCAGTCTCGTTCAATTGAGTACATTGAACTTGTCGATGAATCGATTAACTGGAGAGATTCCTTCAAGCATCGGAAAATTACGTTGGCTTGAAACTCTTGATCTCTCACAAAACCACCTTTTAGGACATATCCCTCAAACCTTTTCTTCTTTAACCTCCCTATCTCACTTGAACTTGTCCTACAACAACTTAATTGGAAGAATACCTTCGGGCAACCAACTCGAAACCCTCAATGATCCATCTATTTATGAGGGCAACCCGTCACTGTGTGGGGCTCCCCTTTCAACCATTTGTCCCGGAGATGACACACATGGAAGAAATACTTTTCATGCAGAAGATCATAATAAAGATGATAACTAAGGGTTTTGGTTTTACGTCAGCATGGCACTTGGTTTCATCATAGGCTTTTGGGCTGTTTGTGGAACGTTGGTCCTAAAAAAGTCATGGAGGTATGCCTATTTTAAATTCTTTGACAACGTGAAAGAGAAAGTTACATTGAAAGTAGCTCGTTGGCAAGGGAGATTATGATACGAAGAGAAAATAAATGTGCATGCGTGTTCTGATGGGCTACTAGTCTGCATGTTGCTACTTCAGCTTACTTTTGGAACTTTTCTTAGCTTTTAAATTGTTGCTTTTGCTAGTTTTTTTATTTGGTTTGGTGTGGTGTGTTTTGTGTTGAAGTGAGTCTCCTAATTAATCAAGGAGATTTATTTCCTTTATTAATTAGGGGATTTACTTTCCTATTATAGATTTATTTCCTTTGATTAATTAGGGGATTTATTTTCCTAATCCTTTACTAGATCTAATTCCTTGTAAAGCTCTCATGTAAACTCTTATATATACCTCCTTATGGAGAAGAATAAAATAAGAACCTAACATATTTTAGCATGGTATCAGAGCAATCGATCCTCGGTTGTCTCTAAATTCTCATATCAAAATTTCTCCTCCCCTCCTCTTCAAGGGGGGGAGGGGGAGTGTAAACGGATCTGTTTCTTATTCTCATGGAGATTTTGCCTCTTTCTTGACTCCGACATACCCTTCTCTTCAGGGGGAGAAGAGAATTGAAGAGAAGTTTCTATGTTCTTAAGCCGTGTTCACAGGGTTTCTGTGTCCTTTAGCCGTGTTCACAGGGTTTCTGTGTTCCTTAGCCGTGTTCACAGGGTTTCTGTGTCCTTTAGCCGTGTTCACAGGGTTTCTGTGTTCCTTAGCCGTGTTCACAGGGTTTCTGTGTCCTTTAGCCGTGTTCACAGGGTTTCTGTGTTCCTTAGCCGTGTTCACAGGGTTTCTGTGTCCTTTAGCCGTGTTCACAGGGTTTCTGTGTTCCTTAGCCGTGTTCACAGGGTTTCTGTGTCCTTTAGCCGTGTTCACAGGGTCTTAGCCGTGTTCACAGGGTTTAGGGTTTCTGTGTTCTTAGCCGTGTTCACAGGGTTTCTGTGTTCTTTAAATTCCTCATATCCTCGTATCGTATCCTTGTATCCTAAATCGAATTCCTCATATCGTCTTCCTCTTACCCAAAATCACATCCCTCATATCGTATTCCTCGTATTTCCAGTTTCAGATTCAGGCCTAAACCCGAATCCTCATATACTTTTATCCCGAAACCCTAAACACATCTTTTTTCTTTTATTCTTCAATCATTCCGCTGCCATGGATATCGTTTCCAAATTCTCCCAAATCCAAATTCCTCAAATCTAAAGTCCTCAAATGCCTTATCTCAAATTTCTCATAATCAAATCATACTCAAATCAAATTCCTCAAATCTTATACACATACCTCTCAAATCCAATTCATACATCAAATTCATACATCAAACTCCTCAAATCAATTCCTCCAATCAAAATCCCTCACATTCTCATATCATTTTTTTTTACTTCTCTTATTGCAGACTCAAAACAACCGGTCGCCCGAAGCAAACGACCGGACACCTGAAGCAAACGACCGGTCGCCAAAGACTCCGCCTGAATTGCATGAATTATCGACTTGGGTGCTACAAATTTCTTGACTCACTTACCAAGTTGGGAATTTGTGACGTATATGCACCAACTTGAGGAGGAGTGTTGAAGTGAGTCTCCTAATTAATCAAGGAGATTTATTTCCTTGATTAATTAGGGGATTTACTTTCCTATTTTATAGATTTATTTCCTTTGATTAATTAGGGGATTTATTTTCCTAATCCTTTACTGGATCTAATTCCTTGTAAAGCTCTCATGTAAACTCTTATATATACCTCCTTATGGAAAAGAATAAAAGAAGAACCTAACATATTTTGTATTAGTGCTTTCCTCACTTTGTGTTTTGGGTCTCTCACAAGGGGCTTTGGTTCTTGTCGTCCCTGGTAGGTTTTACTCTTTTATTACTTCAATAAATTTCTCTCGTGCCGCTGAGATTGTCCAAACAAAGAAAAAAAAAAAACAATAACAATATGCATGTGTGCTTCCTTTTATCGTAACTAATGTAATATGCACTTGCCGTTGATAAAATAAATCAAAAGAACTAGGATGGTAACTTTACATTTGTTTTTTCTATTTTCACTCTTGTCTATCTTATAAGAAATGAAGTGAAAAAGAGATGCTTTTATTTATGAAACTATTGGTGCATTTACCTCATCAAATTTTGAAGAGTCTCTCGCTACCTAATTTTCATCCCACCTCATTCATAGTTTGCTTAAGCCGCACGGTATCAAGTTAAGGAAGTGCTCATGCGAGAGCTAATGTTGATTTTTGGTCTACATTTTTCTTGCTTTTGTTTTTTTGAAGGTGCCTTTCAATATAGACCCAGTCAACGCAAAAATGTTGGGAAAAACCCTCGTATTATAGTTACTGAATAAAAACCCTCGTATTACTTAGTTTTATGAATATTTTGCCCTTGAAGATAAATAATGAAAACAAATTAAAAGTGCTATATATAATTTTTTTATAGAATTAATAAAATTGCTTAATTTGATGCATTTGTTACTCCCAAATTCTGAATTTGAATTTTAAACATACACAAAATCAAACTAGACACTATATAATGCACATAATTAATATACATATAATCCTAATTAATACACAAAATCAATTTGAATTTGATGCTTTTTTTTTTTTTAAACACACACACACACACACACAAAAAACCCCTACAAATGCCAAAATTCATATGCCTCTTTGGTAGGTAGACTAATACTACTTCAAAAACAAACAAAAAAAGTTATATTCAATCGCAAAAATAAAACATAAATCTACTTCTATAAGCATGGTAAATAAATGGATCTAGACAAATTTCTTCACCATAACCATCTATAAAAAGAAGCAAAAAGTACAAGAAAAAGGGTGAATAAGAAGACGAAAGAGAAAAATAAAATAAAAGAAGAATAAGAAAAATGGTAAAGGTGCCAACGTGAATGGACTGGATCAGATTGAAGGCATCTCCCAATCTTAACAGAACAACATGGTAAATTTGATGATGTGGAAAGATGGTCAATGGGTTTACATTGAAAATTGTAAATATGTTGGTTATTCATAATAAACCCTAGTACTTTTGGGTTTTAATCTAATTTTCTATTTTTTTGAATTTGAAGCCCAAAGCTGAAAAGGCAAATGTAGGTCTCATTCTAGGTTCCACTTTTGCGTTTGTGCATGGTGACTGCAATGCTAGACTCCATTCTTGTGTGCTTAGTGATTATAAGCCATTGATGCATCTCGTAATAATAATTGTGTGGTGATCCCTGACAACTCAAACTCCCCATGAGTGTATTGTAATATCAACATGCTAAATGTATTCCAATTTCTAGACGCATATAAATAATGCATTGAGTAATTTTATTGTGGAGATAATTAAGTCTGGTGATTTTGAATCCTCAAAAGTTGGAAATGCTCAAATATCAGCTGACAATGCAGACATAGGAGCAGCAGGTTTCGGCAATGTATATATGGGAAAAAAACCAAAACTCTGAGACTTATAGTTGAAAATACCCCTATTTTCTTTTTTGATAGAAAATAACATATTCTTCACTTCACACACTCCTACTCGTAGAAAACAAAAAAGAGACATGTACTAGATGAATTTTATGGGGTAAAACTCATTATGTCCTCTTGATCAGGATATATTTTTTTTGTGATCAATGAAATTCACTCGAGTCGAGTTTTCTAGGTTTGTGCATAATGTAAATTTAGCCCACCCCAATTTGAAATCCTTGGTCCGTCCCTGTGTGAGTTGGGTCAAAAACAACGAGACAAGGATAGAGAGCGAGGACAGGATACATATGGATCATCATCAAAAGGAATGAGCTCTTAACTTGTGGGTTTAGGATAGGTTGTCAGAATGCAGGCATATAAAACCAAGGCTCTAAATAGACTTTATAGATCAAGTGGGTCTAGGAGGTTTTATACACGTCTTCGTTCTTCACGTTCTTTGGAATTTCTGGGTGAGACACAATTTGGCATTTTAATTTTTTCCTCCTATAAGTTTCAATTATACCATAAACTAATCCATGTAGTTCTTTCAACTTGGACAAAATATAGAATCGTTAGCATTCACAACATATCTTGAATTTAATGAGTGATCAAATCCAATCTAATCATAAGCACCAAACGTGTCCTTAAAGATATATGGCTATGAACTGTAATTAATATAACATAGCAGAAGATTAAGGATCAGATAAGGAGAGAATCAATGCTGATTAGGAAACAACACTTGCTAGTGCAAGCTTTAGCAGGGCAAGAACAAAGACACAAACATCATATTAGTATCTGGCCAGTGCCACCAAGGCTAATGGGCTGGACTGGCAAGATTTTTTGACTGCTGTTATCCTATATATGGTTCACGTTCAAACTGTTTTTCCAAATAACTAACACCCATCTCAATATCTAATAATGTTCAGCAGTAGAAAATAAAATCCAAAGTTTTACTAGCTCATATCTAAATTTTCACAAACTCCTTCCTGCATATATAACATGATGACTTTAACTTTTCAAGCTCCATCACCGGACACAAGGGCATCGATCAAATCACCATCTTCCATTCCAAGCTGCACAAAGCAAAGTAGCAACTAAGAATCAATGGACGCATTTTAGTTCAAACTGGCTTTGATGCATCAAAGGGCATCAGCTAGTAAAGGAACAATCATTTCACCAACAATTAAATTACAGCTTATGGTGACCTATCACGGATTCGATGGTAGTCGAACCGAAGCCCTGTTGGATGTAACACAAAGCCAACAAGCTATAAAGGGTAGTTTAGCTCTATACAAGTCATGATGCATAATATAATCCCCACTTTGGAGAAATACAACAATTATCTACATTATCAACTACACATGTAGTCTACTACTAATTGCACCGAGCTCTTTCGAGTTAAAACCGTACATGTAGAGGTCCATTGAGCATTCTCCCACCCAAAAGGTGATTAAGTTGGAGATAATATTTAGTTCACGCTTGGACTTAGTGCGTTCCTACAAGGCCCGTGATACAACTCTAGCAACAATGAAATTTATTTTCATGATTAACATTCTAAGTAACTTTTACCTGCTCCGGAGTTTTGTTCTTCTCAAGTCGGACGCTATCAAACGTGAATTCTACTGATTTGGGGTCAAGGGAACGATTTTTACAGAATGCTGCCATGAGTTTTTGCAGTTTGGTGCTTCGTTTAATCCGGAAAAGAGTTTGAACTCCATCCTACACGTGGATCTCATCATATAACAAATGAATCCCATTAAACTACAGTGGATCTATTTATTCTAAGATGTGGCTAATAATTCAGTGATAATTTGGTGATATTCAACAGAGAAAACATGAAACTAAATAACGTACGGCGAGAAAACATGAAACTAATTTGGTGTTTCCTTTCCAGTACAGACTGGAAGGGTGTTTTAGTCAATTTCTAATCCAAATTTTGGCTAATGTTGAAATGTTTCTTGGTTAGTTCTCATATAAACCCATCTTATTAGTTCTTATATAAACCCATCAACCCCAAAGTCCCAGTAACCCTAATGGAAACCCAATTTCTTCTCATTTGGTTATAGGAAAAGGAAAATTTGAAAGAAAAAACAAAAACAAGAAGGTTAAAAAATTTCAATAACACCACATGCAATGCAAGGAAAAGAGTGGGGAGAATCAAACCTTGTTGAACTGAATTTTGAGATTCACAGTGTCTTCATCAGATCGACCTCCAGACATCTTAAGAGCTAGGGTTTTTCTTTTCTCTGTGTTGTGTTCTTGGGAGCTTTTTTATTTTTATTTTATTTTTTATGGTCTAAGTTCTGTTCTTGGGAGCTTGATCACGCAAAACTAGCTTTGTGTCTTTGTTTTTTCTCTTTTCGTTTTTTGTTTTGTTTTTTTTTAAGTTTTGTCTGGACAAGTACATACCTACGTACATAGCTTTGAAGAGAAGAGCAGGTGAGGTTCAATCAATGTAATAGATTTGGCAAAGTTACGTGCTGCACCCAACTTCAGAGACTGACCCGTGACTTTCCCTCTTTTGGTAAATAAAATTATGACTTCAAAAACATCAATAATACTTCAAAATTATTTTTAATAAAGGATTTTCAGTTTGAACTATCAAGCTAATTGAATTTACCGTCTGAACTAAAAAGTCAACTAATTTAGTACCCAAACTTATTGTAATAGTTAATTTAACCCTTACAGTCAATTTTTTTGAATTTCATCCATTTTGCCATCTAGAATGTCACATGTTCTTCACGTGACTTACTATTAGATTATTTATTATTATTATTATAAAAAAAACAAAACAATTTAGAAAATTGAAAAAACCTCTCTCGCTGAAACCCAGAAAATCTCTCAAACTTTATTATCCATGAAAGTCGCCCATACCCAGACGGACCCTGAAATCTTACCTCATTGGGTCATAGTGTAAAAGTTTCAATTTTTTTTTTTTCAAGATTAAAATAACATTTAGAAATGAAACTATAGTACGTACATTCATAATTCATATGAAAAACAACATTAAAAGCTACAAATATCCACGACGAGGTTTCATATTTTGAAAACGTAGCACTATAGCTTAATTTTCAATACAAGCAAAAACATCATTCTCAATGTAAACAAGCAAACTATATTTAACTCCAATAAACTACATTCATAAATGAAACATCCAATAAATCAAAACAATATAATAAAATCATAATTTCAATTCAATTAATTTAGGATTAGAGTTAGAATTTACTTGAACTGTGAGAGTGGACGTGGCAGCAAGCTTTTGGCGGTGGCGACAATGACAATGGAGCAGGCTGCAGATGGGGGTTAAAATTTTGGAGGGGGGACATTGGGGATTTAGGGTTGAGGAGAACAGAATTGGGGTTTTGGGAGTTTCTGGGATCAGGTGGAGGGGTTTTAGAATGACTAGGGGCTGTTTTAATTTTTTTTTTTTGAAAAGACTTGGACCAAAACTACGTTGTTTTTGCCAGGCCATTTAACAAAAAATTCTCTAGGCCTCAAAATGACGTCGTTTTTGGCAGCTTATTTAAAAAAAACATCACTGGACCAAAATGACGTCGTTTTGGACAGCTCATTTAAAAAAAAAAATAAATTGCCGGCCAAAACGATGTCATTTTGCCCAGTGTGTTTAAAAAAAAAATAAACTTCTTCCTCTCGCAGGCTACCATTTCGTTCAGCCCAAACAACAAACAGATGGAGGGCATACATGGGGTCGCACAGTCAACTTAAGGAGACCTTCAAGCTTATTTCCATGGAGCCCATGGGATCGTTTGACCCCATTGACCCCACTGTGGGTCCGTCCTTGCCCATTAACCATGAAAATCTTCACCTTCCATCACAACCCAATCAACAACAACCATTATCAATACCATCTTTGTTGTCATCACCGATGTCCTCATCAAGTACAAACCCAGTATCAAAATTATTCTCTAGATTCTCTTAACTCTTATCGTTATGTTTTCCTCTATTTTGTGGTAAAGAGGGGACCAAGCCCAAATAACACATGTCCTTCTTCCTTTTGATTATTTGTGTGGTTTGATTTTAAGATTAATTGATGATTCCATGAACTCAATCGTGCTACAAAGAGAGGAGTTGCTGGATGGATGAGCTGGGATGCGGCAAGGGGTGGGAGTGTAGTTAAGATCAATGTTTTGAAAGGCGAGGTGTTGAAATGAGGCGTTTTATGTCTTGCAAAGCGAGGCGTAAACCTTGAGGCGATAAGGCGCAAGCCTTTTCTTTCTTTTTATTTTGCTTTTATTATTTTACTATTTTGGTTATCTGTATTTTATTTTATTTTATTTAAAATTACAAATTTACCCTTATTATTAAAGAAAAATTGGATGAAATTCAAAAAACTTAACGGTAAGGGCTAAATTGGCTTTTTCATAAGTTTAAGTGCTAAATTGGCTGACTTTTTAGTTCGGGGGGTTAAGTTCGACTAGGATCATAGTTGAGGGGGAAAAACGACACTTTAGCCTTTAATAAATGATTTCAAAATAAAGGGTATAATGGTAACTTCATCCAATTTGTTTATCCACCCTTCTGGGTCTTCTTCCCTTTCTCGTTTTAGTTGCAGCCCCCACCAAAAAGTAACCCTAAATTGCAAATGTCTTCTTGATAACGACTGCGTCCATTGCTCTTGAATTGGGTTCAGAACTTGTTGAAGCTTGGTGAATAGGGCTGTATAGGTAAGATGTCTCAGTCGTCGTCATCATCATCATCATCAATGGATTCATACCAAAATCCCAATTCGTTGAAGTACTACCATTGTGGGAGCTTAATGAACAAAAGTTATATCTCGCAAGTGCACAAATTAATATGATAGTATAGCAAGCAAATACGAAAGTCGTTCCCACATAGATTTGTAAAGTTTATCAATTAATTCCAAATATGAATACCTTAAGAAAAATAGAAAATAAGAACGAAATATTAAAAATATTAAAATGGCTGAAAATACGATTACTCAATTTTAATCTAAGTGCCGAAAATTTGAAGCAAGAAAATAAAATAACGAATGTTGGAAATTGGTTTTGAAAATCAATGGATGAATACTAGGTCTCCGACTTCACCATAACAATCCTATTCTATGCATCAGGTTAATTTTGAGAATAAAGTTTCAATTCAATTCCAAGGGTTTGTTCTTTTGTTATTATGATTATTTGTTCAGTCGCGGTGTCACCAAGTATCCTCAATTAAACCCAATTGATGAACCCCATAGCCAATTTAAAGGACAACCCATTAAGTTCAAGAAGAACAATAAAAAACGAAGAAGTGTCTTAGCTTAAACCCAGGCTTCAACAATAACTCATTCATTCATAGTGCATATAAAATTATGGATGAACCCCTTGCCCAACCTTATCTTAGACAATCCAAAATACCTATAATGGCCAATTACAAGTTTCAATATCACAATTATAATAATGAATGAAACAAGGAATATAAATTGATTAAAGTACACTACAAGAAAATAGGCCTTAGTTGACACTTAATAATTGATGCATTTTGCAAAACCATCAACTATTTTACGAAACTCTTAGCGGGTTTACTTGACGTTTTACAAAAAACGTCAACTATATATCACTTTCCCTAATACTTTATCAAGAACGTCAACTATATATCCCTTTTCCTTGACATTTTATAAAGAACGTCAACTATATATTACTTTTCCTTGACATTTTACAAAGAATGTCAATTAAAACCCTTTTATACCTGACACTTTCTAAAATATCCTTAGGAAAAGAAGCGTGCTAGTTCGCGGGTTTTCATTTCGCTCAAAAATTATGTAAGTGTTTTGCCCTATATTCAACTCCTCTTCCTCTTGGTCACCACATTTTCCCTTCATTTCAAAACCAAAAATATCAGAGTCCCTAGGGTTTTCCACTCTTTCTTCATTTCTTAAATTGGATACATAAATTCTTAGAGAATGTGAACATCAAATCTTAGTGGGCTCATGCTCGGCTAGTTGGGGTGGCAACAATTCAGGTGTATTTCTTATCTATCCAAAGTTATTAGTTCATATGAATGTATTTTTGCCCGACTCTGTTCATCTTTCATTCTCTACAGTATTTTCTCTCTATGTACATCTCTCATAAAGTTTTGTGTTACCTCTCCATTCCTTATGACATGACTCGACCCAAATTCCACTTTGGAATCTGAGGCGAACCCTGTGCATATCCGACACCTAGCGGGTGCCGGGCACAAATGACCAAATTGTCTTTCTAACTAAAATCCAAATTTATTTCAAGTTTGACTTCTGCCAAAAATTCGGCAAAGTCTCCATTGTAAATTTCTCATTTCCCCAAATTTCCACCTGTCAACAAAGGATTTATATATATATATATATCCCAATCGTTCAGCATGCATTCAATTTCGTTCAGAAAATCCAACCACAACTAAGCGGCCTCAGGCCTTACAAAAAATCCTAAGGCAATTCATCAGAGCAACACTATTCGACATAATTACAAAAGATGTGCATAAACGAAAATATGTCCTACATAGAGGAAAAAGAAGGAAGAGGGATGATGAATGCTCGGTGGTGGTGCTCAGGTTCACGCCTACTGTCTGGGGGCATAAAACATTCAAAAATGTGAGTGGACAAAAATAAAGTTTTAGAAAATAGAATATGAACATACTAACCCCACTGTTTAAACCATTTAGAAAATTCAATTATCTCAATTTTCTATATTCGTACCAATTTCAAGCAGGCATATTTAATTATATATATAAATAATCATGCATTTAAACAAATCATCAAATTCATTCGTACCGTGTAAAATATTAAAATCTTTCCACCTAGGTGTACCCATACAGTATTTGTCAATTCCATGGATCTCCATTTAATTCCCACATTATCCGTCAATTCCTCATGTCACCATTTATGACACGTTCTCGTAGGTCTCGGTAACACAAAGTCGACCCGAGCCATAATCCTTGCAGGATTCAGGGGACATTTAGTCCACCTAATCCGCATTCCTCGCTCCACACGGTCCGGATATCCCTAGGACTCGTGGGGCAACCTTCAAACGTGCTGACATATTCGAAGGCAACATAAAAACCGAAGGCAACTTTTATCCAAAGGCAACATGTATCCGAAGGCAACAATTGGGTACCTAGGGTGGTTTAAAATATTTCCTAAAAAAGTATAAAATTATAATATTATAGAACTATCTCTCATTCATCCATAAATCCTGTTGCCATTATCCTTCCTACTTTCCAAGCCATTTGCATTTTATACATCGCAATAGATAAATAAAAATAAAATAAAATAAAATAAAAATAGTAATTTAAAACCAATTTATCATGCTTAGAAAGTAACTGTCATTAATACTTATTCAAGATCAAATAATGAAATTTTAATTGCATAAAATCATTTACGAAACAAAGTCCACTCACTGTGC